ATGCAGTGGCTTTAGAATCTTTCTTATGTGTAAGGTGATTTATTTATTTAAAATATATTTAACAAACTTGCCATTCAGGGTATATTTTAATGCACTCTTAAATGTTGAATCTTGATTTACTCATATGTGGAATTTTCAAAAAATTGGTCATATGGCTGAGGTATAAATTGGAGAGCCAGAGGCACTAAGATCAAGAAATTATTCATTCACTGGTTCCTGAAATTAAGTCTTTTGCTGATGATTAAAAGCCAGCTTTTAAACCTGTGAAAGGGAAATCACCTTGATGATACGGAGAACAAGAAAATTGAGGATTTTCTCCTCTTTCCTTTTTTTGCTATATGAACATCTTGGCTTGAACCTTGGTGGAGCCTGAGTAGTACCATGTAGTCATTGAACAGTGGAACAGTGCTCACTATATTTGGTGTCAAAAGCTAGAACTTGACATCAGTCACGTCTTGTTTTTCAGCCAGGTGTAGTGGGGCAGATGCTGGAGGCAGCCGAAGAAGACTGTAGCGCTGCCTGTGTTCCTTGTAATCCTCTTCTGCTGTTCTGGCAAGGTATGAGTATTGGTTCGGTTTGGTTTCGAGACATTTTTAGAAAGAACTCTTATGATATTAAAAAATATATTGCCTGAGGCTTTCTTTCTAGCAGTTCAGTTGTGACCGGATCGCATTTGGTGTTGACTTCTGAACCCTTATTCACTACTCTTGGCGGCCATGTATTGTACTCAGATGGGAGTAGCATTTGTAGCCCCTTCATTTCTAGTAGTATTTAAACCACTCTCCTTAATATTTGTCAGCAGCTTTCTAGGGCAGGAAGGAAAACAACAAAAAACTTAGATATAAATCTGGCCATTTGGGCATAAACTAGCTTTTCCTCTTGGCAGAGCTGTTTCTATTCATAAACTTTATAATTCTCATTACCAGGTTCCTCCCTTAGCATCCCTAACCCCTTTGACCTCCCTCTGCACACAAATACATGTAGGGTAAACAGCCTGTTTTTCTTATTCAACCTTTGTTACATGCAGTCAAAAATAAAATTTTGCTTAGGCTCTACTTCTGCTAGATGAGGATGATGCTTTACCTTGCATTCAAGATGTTCTGTAATCTGACCCCCAGAGTGCCTTTTCCAGCTTTGTCCCCACCACTCTCTTGCCACTGGGCCTCAGTCACTGTGACTGTTTAAACCCCTTTGTTTGTACTGTTCCTTTTCTCTGAAACCCCACACACTCTCACCCAAGAAAAGACTCTCAGGGCAGGGAGTATCTCTTACTCATTTCCATATATCCTAGTATACAGCCTGGGACAGAACTTTGCTCTTTAGGCTTTTAATAATTATATGATAACGTAAAATGTGAACAAAATGGCTGTACTGTGGGGAAATATTTCAGAAGCAGTCCAGTCCTGTGGAGTACAAGAAGACTGATGCTCCTCAGCCAGATGTGAAGGAAGAAGAAGAGAAGGAGGAAGAAAGGGACAAGGGAGATGAGGAGGAAGAAGGTGAAGAGAAACTTGGTAAGAAGTAGACCCCAAAATATCTGCTTTCACCCAAGACTCTAAGATGTTCAAACCCTTATAAACAAGTTACTGTAAAGATTGTTTTAGACAATTAATGCTAATTATCTAATTACCCAAAACAGTTGTAAGGTTTGCTGAGTTGTTTAACTTCTGTTTTAGAAGAGAAGCAAAAAAGTGATGCTGAAGAAGATGGCGACACTGTCAGTCAAGAGGGCGAAGATAGGAAATCTAAAGCAGAGGTAACAGGAAGGGGGAACATGTTTTGTATTTTAAGCACCTAAGTTGAAAGTACATTTAAGTAGAGGGAATATTTTCATAAGGTAATTTTCAGTGGTCATGGCTGTAAAAATTCAATTAAAGCCAATTTTATAAAAGTGAAATTCTTAGAAATACAGGTCAGCATGTTATAACTTCAAATTATATCTGAATCTCCGAAGTATTTTTCTGTCTGAAAATGCTTTTGGAATAAGCAGAGTTGTAGGAGAAAACTAATACAATGATTTCTGAGATGGCAACTGTAGGTTATTATTTTAGTCTATCTCTTCATCCACCTCCCCTAATTGTGACCTTAAAAAATATTTCTTGTATAAATCCCGTGTGTTGTAAAATTTCTGTCCCAGTTGCTCACGGATTCATTTATTTATTCAATAAGTAGTTTTGGAGTGCTCATTATATGCCAGGCATTGTCAGTGAACAAGACAGACAAAGATAACCTACCTTTGGGGAGCTTAATTTCTAGTGGGAGGAAACAGACAATTATCAGTAGACTTGATAAGGAAGTACCTGAATGAATGTTAGAAAGTGATGGGCCATGAAAAAGAAAAGTACGATAGGAAAGGCTATCAGAAGTGCTGGGATGCAGTGTTAAAGATGGTAGGCCTCGTTGGAGAGGTGACGTTTGAGTGAAGACTTGACAGATATGGGCAGCCATTGTAGGTTTTGGGACTAAGTAGGTCTGTTCACTCTGGCTGCTGTGTTTTCTACAGACCAAGTAGAATCAAGGAGACTGGATAGGAGGCTGCTGTGCGAATCACGTTAGATACGGTGGTCCTGAGTAGGGTGAAATGATAGGAAAGGAGGATGTGGGCTTCTGGAGCTGGGTTGGATG